ATATGTGGATGACACTTTCGTCATTTGACCACATGTCCTCCCAGCTCTGAACCTTTTCCTACACCACATCAATTCCAGACATCCCGCCATCAAATTCACCATGGAAGTGGAGAAAGATGGCAAGCTACCATTCTTAGATGTTCTGTTTGAGAGGAGACCTGATGGCTCATTGGGGCATTCTGTCTACAGGAAACCCACCCACACAGATTCCTACTTGAAACCTGATTCCCACCACCACCCAGCCCAAAATAATTATCTCATCAAAACTTTATACCATAGGGCTCATTGCATTTCGGACCAACACCACCTGACCAGTGAATTAAAACATGTACACCTGGCCCTCAAAAGGAATGGATACTCTGACCGTACCATCTGCCAAGCTGTTTCTCCCTCCATACAGAAACAACCACTTGATACTCCGGTCAAAACCATCACACTACCATATATAGCAGGCGCTACTAAAAAGATTTCCAAAATTCTAAACAAACACAAGATCCAGGTCCGATTCAATACAGTACACAAAATTCGTGATCTGATCCCATCCGTGAAGGATGTCATTCCTGACTTACAGTACCCCGGGGTTTACAAATTGAGTTGTACCTGCGGTGATTGCTATATCGGGGAGACAAAGCGACATGTCTCTGACCGAATTCGCGAGCACAAATCAGATTTGAAACACGGCAGAACGAATTCTTCTGCCGTAGCTGATCACTGTTACAAGGCTGTGGGTGATCACGATATAATTTTCTCTGATACCAAGGTTCTTTGCAAACCCACGGGTTTTTATCAGAGATTTGTTCACGAGGCAATTCAGATCTACAAACACAGACACAATTTCAACCGAGAAGATGGTTTCAAATTAAGCAACCATTGGAAAGATGTAAATTTCGTGTCGGTGTGAACTTACATGGCGAATAAAACCCTTTCTGATTCTGATTCTAAATCGAACCAAACATTAAACTAATTTTCAATGGTACAGTATATTTTTCAAGTAGTGGTACCCCAAACTTTCGCAGCTCTTAAAAATTCCCTTTTCACACCATCAATAGGTAAACTCCCCCTCCCCCCCTCGCTAACCGGCATGTTCACCCGCATGTACACCACCTCTACACCGTTCATTATGTTAAGTCGGCCAATCAAATGCTAATTTTTATGCTAATTCCTTTGTCAAGGCACCTTGTTTCCTCGCACACAGCTTAAAGGTCGCGGTCTGACCGTGGCTGTGTTTCACTCCAGCGCTGTCCTCGAGACAGTCTGCTCCCTTCACCTGATGAAGGCCGCTTGTGTTGTGGCCGAAACGTCGTGATTTTTGTTGTTTTATTTTTTACCTACGTGACTTTACCGAATAGAACCAAAGAGTACACATTCACAACTTTGCCTTTTATATATATGGAGATAACTTCTCCAGTAATTTCGTGCTTACAGTTACATAATACAGGCAAACCCGCAACAGTTCATGAACTTCTGCAGTCATGCTACACCGTGCCCTATTCACGTTGCGTTGTAGGAGCGAATAAAACACACGAAGCGTGGTTGGCGTCACTGGTGGCAAGTTCAAAGCAGTTTCATCACGGTTGGATGCCCAGATTCCAAGTCGTCTTCGCACAGTGCTCTAACATCTGAGCCACCAGCCACCTCAAATATTTTATAGGTAAATTTCAGTAAGAAAAATAATCTACATCGGTATTACTTCCTAAATGGAACCGTGTTGTTTTTTTTACGGTCCTTTTATATTTTCTGACCCTTCCCCTTGAACTTAACTGCCTTCGTTCCGGTTTTTCCTGTTTCTCGCCGGATTGCTTAGATGGAAATTTACATGCTTTTGTGTTGCCTCCCCCCCAGATTATATCTTCACGAGCCATCTCCTTACCTGAAACGAGTTGACAGGTAAACTGCCTCGTAACTTTGCGCACACAAAACAAAAAACAAGATAAAACCATCATCCGTTATCTATCAGTGAAGACATCAGCACGCCATTGCCACCTCCCTCGTGGTCCTGTGATGCTGTGATCCACATCACTCCTGGCCATGAGTTCATCTTATCGCTCCATCTTCACAGCGGTCGTCTTTTCGAGAATGTTATTCCGTCCCTCCTTTGGCTGCCGTTCCGTCGCCATTCTCATCACCGTATAATATGTTGGAATAGGATACTTAGGATATACCGTATGGATATACTTTAATGACGATGCTTCTTCGCAATCCTTTGTCAATTTACTGGTGAAGGTCTCCCGATGCTATGTCGGTCACGGCACTTTTGGTTTGGCCATACTTCACCAGGCTGGTCCGAGCAGATTGATAAAGGGGGCCCTCGGGACCAGTTCAGATATCGCCACTCCTGTTAGCTGTGTTGTGACATGCAGAAACTCAAATCACGTCCACAGAAATACAAATTTAGTTGCTGCAAGTTGCCAAAGTCACACCGAGCCATGCTCAGGATTCTTATGACAATTGAGTGTAAAATGTCAGGGACTTTAATAAACCAAGGCAAAGGAACGAATCAGGCATCTTCGGAATAACGATGGAAACATCACAAGCCGTTGCTGGGCTGTTGCCTTGTTCGTAAAATATTACTTCATCTCGCGGCATTCTACCTCTTCTCAATTAAACACTTCTTCCTAAACAATAATACAGCATTTGCCTGCAAAGCCAAGTTAAACAAGGTTACGTTATCCCTGTGTGTGAACAGCATCATTCCACGAAACGACGAAAAAAAATACTTTTTTGGCAAATCTTTCAGGGTGACGCAAATCCAAAGTGCGTGTGAATGGCTGCGCAATTATTGCCAGAAAGGGTAAAAACTATTCTTATTTTTTCACACTTTGATACTGGCAAAAAAGGTCCCATGTTGTGGCTGCACAATGTTTTTTTCTGCAGAATTTTGTAAAAAAATATAGATATCCATCAAGTGACCAATGGCTCGCTACACAACAGCGGCACACTGTGCTGGTGTTTGTCGCATAAGAATCGAAGTCGTATTGTTGACCTTAAAGTGGGGGGAAATATGCGAAAAACAAACATTTGAATATTATTAGGGGGTTTTGTGCAGTCATTGGTGATCTGGTCGCATGCATCTATTCGCAAAACTTCAGCTACCCGTATTCTAACCCAACGTGACAATGGTACCAACTCCTGTTTATCTGACAGCTCAGAGACAATTTAACTTGCCTTTGTTATCTTGCATTGCACCAGGATGTGGTTTGAGCCACTTCTTAGGCTGAAAACATGCATAACATTGGTTAGTTTGAATATGTTTGTTATTCGTTCCATTATTTTCGTGCAAGGCTCATATTTCGCAGACGAGAATATTCTGCAGGTCGAGGTTGATGTTACTGTGTGGGTTTAGCCAGCCCTCGGGCCATCTGTCCCGCTAGCTCGAGGTGCTCCAAGATTACCCCTTTGACGTTGTCCACAGGAAGGGGGCACAGCATGGAAATGCGGACGGGTTGTCCAGATTGCTGGCAGGCGGCGGGCGTGCTTGCGCCCTGGGCTCTAGCCATTGCAAGGGCCCAGGGGACGCCACGGCCCAGTTGGTCACTTCGGCCGAGGTGGCCACCCCTCCAGGTGCGGCGTTGCCTGCATATTTCGGCCTGGGGCTCCCTCGAGAGGTATGGTCCAGCTTGCAGATGGAGGATTCCTCTCTGCTGAAGCTGCGACGCCGCGTTGGCCGTAAGGCCCGGAGCTCAGCTTCATCGGCGGCCCCGGCAATCACCGTGCATGACGGTCTCCTCATGCGTTGGGATGCCAAACTGGAACGCTACTGCATGGTTGTGCCCACTAGCCTGCGTGGAAAATTAACCCGAGCCATTCATGAGAAGCTTATGCACCTTCTTGGTTCTTTTGGTAAAGTCACGTAGAATGGAAATAAAATAATAATAAAAATAAAACATAATAAAATACAATTCTCACGACGTTTCGGCCACAACACAAGTAGCCTTCTTCAGGTGAAGAAACAGGTTTGTCCAGAAGTCAGCACTTGTTGAAGGATCTCAAGATTGAGATGAAGAAGGCTACTTGTGTTGTGGCCGAAACGTCGTGAGAATTTTATTTTTTATTTTGTTTTATTTGTATTATTTTATTTCCATTCTACGTGACTTTACCGAAAGAACCAAGATGAATCCCTGCAGTCACGAAAGCTTTAAATCGAAATTTAAGCTTATGCACCTTGGCTACCACAAGACCTTATTGACCCTTAAGCGGGACTATTACTGGCTGGGTGTAGAGGGTGACGTGGCGTTGATTTTGAAGGGTTGCCACGACTGTGTGCGGAGAAAGACCCCAGTTGTCCAGGACCAGGCCCCGCTGCAGTCCATCCGGGTTTCTCACGTTAATGAGCTAGTGGCGCTCAACATTTTGGGCCCATTCCCTGCATCCCAACGGGGCCATAAATACCTCTTGGTCGGCGTCGAGTACCTCACACGTTGGCCTGTGGCGTGGCCTTTGGTTGATTAATCGGTCTCCTCTATTACCGAGGCGTTCGTCCAGGGGTACGTGTTGCACATGGGCGCGCCGGAACAATTGTTAACTGACCAGGGGCGAAATATCTCGTCCAGGTTGCTCAAGGAGGTGTGTGACCTCCTGGGCACCAAGAAAATCCGCACCTCGCCCTACCACCCCCAGTCGGACGGGATGGTAGAGCAGTTGAACCGCACCCTCACGTCCATGCTGTGCCACCACGTGAACACGTCCCAGTCGGACTGGGACCTGTTCGTCCCGGGGGTCTTGGTGGTGTATCGGTTGGCCCCTCACTCCTCGACGGGATTTTCGCCTTTTTATTTGATGTATGGTAGGGAACCGGAGCCCCCGGTGCACGTCCAGATGGACATCGGGTCTTCCAAGAAGGGGTCGGCGGTGCCGGTCCCTTTGAAGGTCGCACTTGACCGGTTGCGCGAGGCACGGCAGGCCGCTTCCGAAAATTCCGCCAGCCGGCAGGCGGCTAATGAGCATCTGCCCAAGCATCAGGCTGCAGGTTTCCCATGGGTGGCGGGCCAAGAGGCGTGGCTACATTGCCCCCAGGTTCCCATTGGCACGTCTCCCAAATTACATTGCCCTTGGCAGGGCCCCGTTGAGGTCGTGGAGGTCCGACGGCCGCAGTGCGTCCGGATTCAGTTTGGTCGCCGGCGGTGGATTATGCACCCGTCCCGACTCAAGCGTTATGTACCATCTAGCCTGGAGGACCCACACTCACTCCAGGAGTGGCCGGTGGGTGATGCGTCCGTCGTGCCTGACCAGCCGGGTCTCTTTGACGGAGGTAAGGCCAGCAGAGACTCCTGCACGGGCGGCGGACGCCACGCGCGGATGCGGGCTGGCGGCGCATACCCGCTCGAGGGGGATGCGGCTCCGGTGATGGCCCTTGTGGCCGTTCATCAGGCCTGGCGCCAGCTCAGCGCTGTTGAGCAAAAGAGGCCTTCGGTCTCTCTCTCTTTTTTGTTTTATTGTTGTTGTTGTGCCTGAGGGGCCGTGCTGCCCTAAGGTTGAGGTTATTCTAGGAGTCGGTTTTGCCTTCAGGCCCAAGCATGTTCTCAGTTGTTCGGCCTTCGGTCTCGTTGTGGTTGCAGCCGTGTCGGCTGTTTTTTTTTTCCACGGGAGAGGGTAATGTAGAGGAGTAAAATAGGGAAGTGGCGTCATGTGTGCTGTCCGGTGCGATGACGTCACGGGACACGGCGTCATGCGCGTTGGGCGGCAAAATGACGGCACATCTCCTCTAGTATGAAAAGGGGACCCCGTGACGTAAGCGGGGTCGTTGCTGGAGTCAAGGCTCGGAGTAAGGTGGAACGGGGAGCCAGGGGCGAGGGAGTAGGGATAGGAAAGAGCACAGCGCCAGGGCTGGAGGTGGCTGCGCTTCTCGGTCGGCCGTGTTGGCTGAACCCACGGCCGGCGCAGAGGAGGCAGCACGGGGCAGCCGGCTGTGTCGGGAACCAGTGGGACCCAGCCCGGGACCCCTAACCCCTGGGCAGTTGTTACACCCTGGTGTGTCGCATTAACTTTAATAAACCCTTGGCGAAAGCCCTTAAACATCAGCTTCAGCTCCGAGTGCGTCCTGGGAACTCGTCTACACATTGATGGACCTGTAATAATGCTTGGTTCACTACACCAGTAGGGCTAGACGCACAATGGGTCAAAGGGCGCCGAGATAGCGAGATGTTATCTCGCTTGACTGATATACAGGAGGTCGTGGGTTTGATCCTGACCCTGACGCCTGCTCTATATTTGGAGTGTGCATGTTCTCCCTGTGGTCGCGTGGATTTTACTCCCGGGCCTCTGTTTTTTTCCCCTCTACATTTAGTAACGTGCGTTTAGAGTATTTGGCTGCTATAAATTAGCACATGATAAACCACTTCGTTGGGCTATCATTTGTGGCCAGGTCGCTTCCAAAAAAGAGCTACATAGCTCAGGGGGCCTTGCCTGGTAAAATAAAAATAGTTTAGTTTATTTTTTTTAACTCAACTGTGTTTATTGTAGCCGACCCACCCATGCACACAGTACTGACATCTTCACGGGGTGTTGAAGCACTCAGCTCTCTTCTTTGGTTCTTTTGGTAAAGTCACGTAGAATGAGAATAAAATAATAAATTGATAAAATAAAATAACACAATATTCTCACGACGTTTCGGCCACAACACAAGCGGCCTTCATCAGGTGAAGGGACGAGACTGTCTGGACTGTCTGGAGGACAGCGCTGTCCTCCAGACAGTCTCGTCCCTTCACCTGATGAAGGCCGCTTGTGTTGTGGCCGAAACGTCGTGAGAATATTATTGTGTTATTTTATCAATTTATTATTTTATTCTCATTCTACGTGACTTTCCCGAAAGACCCAAAGAAGATGAATCCTTGCAATCACGAAAGCTTTAAATCGACATTCACTCAGCTCTCCTTTCACTCTGCGTACTGCTCCTTAAATAATCCCTCTGTGTGTGCATCACAACACCGCTCACCGCACGTTTTGAACGCGTGTGGGTTTTCCCACTGATGTGTCCGCTGCCCTTTAACGCGCGCACGTCGACGGCATTACCTGCGCACCTCCAATTAGCACACTTGGCAATGTGCGATGCGAAATATGTGCAAACATGCGTACATAAGCGGCAGAGGAATCTGTGCCGGCCACAATAATATATTTTTTTTCTTTCTCAGCTGGACCACATGAGCACGCGCGATTGAATCAGTGTTGTCGTTTAGCACCATAGAAACACGCGGGGAAAACCCAGCACTTCCTGTAACGTGCCTCGGGCACCTGCAGGCTGCTATAAACGTGCACGACTTAAACCTTCTGTTCATAGCACCGAGGCAGCCAATCGGGCATCCATCGCAACCGTCCACCCAACCGAGAACAACACCATGACGTACAATTGAAGTGTCTGCTATTGCTGATCATCTGGACCGTGGCTGCTGTGAGCGACTTGCAAAAAAAAACTGGTAAGTGTTCAATGTAGTAACTTTACAGTCCATGACAATACTGCATAGTCATTTACCACAAAGATAATTTACAAATTGACGTTATTATATTCAGCTTGTTTTACTTAAAGGGGTATATTAACCCATTTGCAGCCTGTGGCATTTTTACAGGACTATAATTTTCTTTTGTAGCACGTATCCTGCACATTTACGTGCTCGGAATGTATATAAGAAACACATTCACTTAAAATTTAATAACGAAACTGGGTTTAGTTTGTTGTCCTTCCCCCGCACCTCCACTGAGCATGGTCAGCTAAGTACATATTCAGCGTACACACACAGTGTTGTAAAGACAAAGTAAAGGTGAAAACATCCCCACACATTTGAGGTGGTGGTTGTAATAAGAAAGTAATTTATTCATTATTATCATGTGAATATGAGATGTATTATTTATTGTCAGTTAAAAATGCATTGAGGCCACACGTTTCTCATTCAACTGAGACATTTTGCAAAATGATAAAATATTACGGAATGCTAGAATTGTACTTTTTTTTTACCGATTATCTGCTTACAAACCGTTAAAGAAAGTAATGGAGTAGTTTGAATGTAACAACACGCGTCGCTAAATGGGCATGGATATAGATGCCAAGGAATGGAACACATCCGAGAAGACTTCCACTGGGCCGGTGGAGCGATTGGTGCAGGTTCATGATAGATTCATTACATCGCAGGATTGTTAGACACGGAGACAGCCTTTATCCAGCAGTGGATTGATCATGGCTGACAATGAGGAGGAAGATGATGATGATGATGATTCATAATCGATCAGATCGCGTAAGTGTAATGTGTGTCGCGATCTTACCCAAAAATAAATTATGAACCACAATGTTTATAGCGAAAGCCGAAGACATGATACGCAGCAACTGTGAAACATTACAATCTAAAACAAATAAAAGTCAACCAATAAAATATTTGCAATTGGCACATAGTGTACAATTACAATTGCATTTAGAAATGGAACGTTTAGAGGCTGTGTTTCTTTTTATTTACAATGTTGTGGGTGACAGGAGTGCGGAAATAGTGGCCAGTGGCTAGCGGCTCCGTGGTGGTAAAGGGAAGTCGATTTATTTTTGTCATGGACCACGCTTTGTAAGTGGGAAGCTATTTGTGGTCCACTTTCATGTCAAGCGATGTAAGTTGAAACCTCTTTGGTAGAAACAGAACAAAAATATCCTCGTGACGGTATATTACTGCACTGTATTAATTCGGGGGAAATATCTTTGGTACGTATGATGATCAAAAAGGACTGTAAACAAGGACATATCGCAGTTGTCTCGCTGCTAAATAACAACAGGATTTCTGCATAAGTCTGGCTGCCGCCTGATGAAGCTCGTCGTGTTATTGGCGAAACGTCGGGCTCAGATTGTAAATGTTGTGGATTTGCTCTCCAACACACCGGTGTGCCGGTGTGCTGCACTAGTAACGATTTGGCATGCTCTGTTTACGTGACAAACCTTACTAATTGGCTGTGTCGGGTGGTGGCGGGTTTAACGACACATCTATATGTTTACGCGATCTAACTTAAAACATTTTTTTTATGGATGCTATTGGTCACGAAAGCCTCCTACGTGTTAAAGTGAACTTTGTTTACCTTCGCCAATGAATGCTAATATCATGCATGGATGGTGCCGCACTTCATCACGTAATAAATAAGCAGTGGATGAGGTGATGCTTCACCAACGATGTTTTTCAAGGCACTCGCTGCTCCCCTCGCGCTAACAACTCACCTGCCGCAGGTGAGGGCGTGGCCTGAAGACGCGAGCAAAGAACACCGCTCACCTGGGCCACCGAAGGGGTCACAGCACTCGGCAGACTCAAGCGGGGCATCTGCTGCTGCTGTTGTTGTTGCTGCTGCAGCGATAGCGGCAGCTGCAGCTGCAGCTGCTGCCGCTATTGCTGTTGTTGCTGCTGCTGGGAGCGCAAAGATGACGCAGCGTCCGCGGACTCCGGCTGAAATCCTCTCCAAGCGTTCTCTCGTGGTGAGCCCCGCACCTCGTCCACCGCCTCCAGCTTCGCCAGCGCAGCCCCCTGGGCTATGCCAGCGCACCGTTGAGCATGATGTTCGACGTTCCGCACTGCGTGCTGCGAGCTCTATAGCTCATCGGATTCCCTCGTATAAATACGGATTCTGCTCCTGTTTGATGGCATCAGCAAGCTGATGTGATTTTTCAAATAATAACAAGTAGAGTATATACAGCCCCGTGCTGATCTTCCACTGGATTAAGGTGTCCTTGTGTTGTACTCATCATTGGTCTTGTGGATCGTTTGACCACAACCCTGGTCAGGTAAGGGTTTGTGAACTGGGGGGCAGAGGGGGGCAGGGGGGAGGGGGGCAAAGACCGATTCAGATTTCACCGCCCCGCCGCTGCTGTTAGCCTTGGCTGGATATGACACTCACGTGGCCGGGTTCATCGTGCAGTGTGACACCTTTCCCCCACGGTCTTTGGTACTCGTAAGAGGTTTCGTGCCTGGGACGTTGTGCTCGCTGCGGAGTGCGTTCCATACGGAGGGAATATTTAACTCGACTGTGCCGCGTGACACAAACTCGATGGATTTTGCTGCGTTGTCCGGAGGCATTAGCACACCTGTCAACAAGCCCTTATCAGCGGCTACCTTATTACAGACAAATTCAGACCTCATTGGTCACCCCGTGCCCATTATAAATCTCAACGTTCATCCTACAAAGTCCCATCACAAGGGAGAAACACAGACAAAAATAATGTGTTTGCCCGCATTGCAATGGCTGTACGTCATCTGGACCTGAAAGCTCAGTTTCCCTGCACAAAAAACACGGGGTAAACCGTGTGGGTTAACAGGTTTGCATTAGTAGTCGTTATTAGAACCGACAAACGATTCCAGTACGCGGTGCTACTTGTTACCTCAATAGGAATGCAAACAAATTGGGGTTCTATTTTAATAACAAGAATATGATAACTTAGACAAATATTGCAACTCCCACACTTTAAATGCTTTCCTTTATCATTCTCTCATCTAAAATTTGGTATCACTAGCTGACTTCAATGCAGACTTAATAGTTATCATCAGTCATGGTTAATCCACTGCTGGATGGAGGCCTACCCAAGCGAGCCTATGGTGTAACAATCCTCCTCTATGTATGTTGAACTTCTTTCGCACCGTACGTAGCCAACCGTCCTCATCGGAGGTGCACCTGCACACGGGTTCATCGCGACTAGAGCGCGTTCCCTCCTTTGGCTGCAACTCCAGCATTAGCCTCGACCACACGACAGAGAAGTGTTTCCCTCAATCCCACTCTATGTTCATTATCAATGCACCCTGTGAGCCAGCGTTACACCCTCTGAGCCAGGCATTCTTTCGTGCCCTGCCGCATACCCAAGACGAAGCAGAAAAGCATTCTGACATTCACGTTTGACCACATTCCAATCAGCTTCACCTTGACTGGGGAAATACTCCTTCCCATCGCGTCGGCCATAAATTATGCCCACCACCACCTCCACTAAAAAAAACATATAACTAAAAATCTAAATTTTCATGAATTGTAACAACTTTTTATCACAATAAGTCGGCTTCCACGATTGTGCTGAGCAGCCGCCACCTGCGGGCTTTGTCGGGTTGTCGCCCCGCGTTGTTCGGAACGATGGCCGACGTTTCGCCGCACGTGCCGAGTGAGAGCTTCTCCGGGCGTGATCTAGATTCCAGTTCGAGAAGTGGAAGGTTCATTAGTCACAAACTTGCGTGTCGTGGGGCATCAGGTACTGTATATTTACTCGAGTTCAGTTCGGCAGAGACCGGCGTATTCTACGAAGTGCACGGTTCATGAGCAGCAAACGGGCTTGGCAATATGTGAAAAGCACATGCTCTCCGTTGAACGAGTTTCAAATGAACGTACTGCTTATTTACTCGAGTTTAAATCTTGACTTAAAGCTTTTGTGACTGCAGGAATTCATATTCTTTGGGTATTTCGTTAAAGTCACGTAGATAGGTTCTTTGAACCTATCTACGTGACTTTCGTCGAGTTTAATTGCGTCACTTTGTGTGGGAGAGCGACGGTGCCGTTTGTAATTCAGGTTGCAACAAGTACACTCAGAACATCGTTTTTTGTATTCCTTATCTGTTTTTGTATTGTATCTGATTGACCCCTCCCCAGCTGGACATCTGTGAAAAAGAGCTTCATAGCTCATCGGATTCCTCCAGTCTAAATAATGAGTCTGATTCTTATTATAAACTGTCTTTCCAATATGTCTTTGATCACTGGGTACATTCCACCAGTCACACACTCAATTCCTGTGAGCAAGTCGGCCAGAATACGCCAGATTGCTTCACATCTCAGACGCTAACCAGGCTTGGGCTTGGATAGGGCTTGGATAGGGCTTGGATGGACGACTACCATGCATAATGGGTGATATAGGCGACGATGTTACATTGTGATTCATGCGACACAATCCATTGTTGTACTGTACTCTACAATCTAATTGTCCTCCATCTATGCTCCCCGCCTTCACAAACCCTCACCGACCAGTTTGGTAAACTATGGCCATGGCCTTCACGGTGTGGGCAGGCCCTCATTCAGCAGTGGATTGACCAAGGGGCTGTACACATATATGACACACCGTACATGCTCTCGTTCATTCCAAGCGTTCATGTTTAAACAAGGAATGTACTCAGATTCAGAATCTTTATTTAGAGCGGAGGAATTCGATGAGGCTCACATTGAATGGCCGTGGGCACATTGTCTCTGAACAAAGAGGCGAGCTATTTATTTATTTTGGCATGAAAAGTAATTCTACCAGGTATCTGTAATTGTGGAAAATGTGTGTATATATATGCAAAATGAACTGGGCTGAATGCGATGGCATCGTTAACGTATTTCTCTCGCTTTTTACAGTTGATGAGGACGATTTCAAAGGAGCTGCGCTACATAAGGCAAGAAATTGCTGAAGTTGCTGAGGGGCAACACGATTGTGAGACCGTGAAGTAAGAAGCGGGCTATCACCCACGTGATCACGATGGCATTAGACAATAAATGACCATAAACCTGCTGACCCAGCAACGCCATCGCTGCGTTGTTGAGTTATTTTGGCCAAGCCCCACGAGTGAATCACTCCTTTACCCCGCCCACCACACTCGACATTTGATACAGAACGCCTGTTAGCCGTCTACATTTTGCGACGTCAAAACTGGGGGTGCCGTGATATACAATCTTTCGCGACATGATGCTATATATTTTTTTAAAGATATGACGATTTTTGCGATGTCATTTTCCCAAAACTCTGCAGTGTAATCGTATTTCAGAATGTTATTGCGTCGTTTTTGTGCTTTGGTGTTAAGTTTAGCACAAGTAAAGAGTACTTCAAGGTTATTTGACTGCGTTTCAGTCATCACAGGCCTGCAATAAGTTTTCTAATCATTGCAGCGTTATCGTCTGTAATACGTATAGCGAGCATACTGTCAGCTACGCTAGATAGAATGACATCTTTAAATGAATTGCACAAATGATGAGTCTCTCTCTACCTGCCATTGCATCAATTATTCCGTAAAACATTTTGGAAAGCACTCATTTGATGGGCATTAGCGACATTTCTTTAGAAATGTGATTATGTGTACTTTTGTTATTTCACAATACATATTTTGTCAGGCAGCGTGATGTGAATGAACAGACAATGAGCAACACGAAACGCAGGAGGCATAGTATTTCACAAACAAAACGATTAATGCGATTATCGCAAACCTTACATCGTTTGACGTATCGTAGTCTCACCAAATTGTGACAACCCAAATCAAAACAAATGCAGACATGCAAGCACGCGTAAACTTAAATGAACAATTTCCAATCGCATAAATGCATTCCTTTTCTCTAGAGGAAACGAAAGAAATAGAACAAAGTTGAAAACCACACGTATACGAAAAGATGATGATAATGATGATGATAATAATAATGATTACAAATCAATCATAGCGGTGAGGTACACGTTTTTGTCAATGTGCAGCAAGTGTAAGGTAAAGAGTAATAATGGAATAAAGAAAATGGAATGTAGTCAAGAAAATGGAATGGAGCCAAGGGAATACACGTGCATGGGGGTACTGAAGCGGAGATGGAATGATGATATTAGTGGCACATCCGTGGCTGTAATTTAATACAGCTGCTTAGAACCGAATGGCACCAGCCTTATAACAGCCTTCATATAGCAAGCCCCCTCATAACAGCATTCATATACCGTGCACGTGTCAAACAACGCCTGCTGTGCCGGTGATGGGAGTTTGACCATACTTCACCACGCTGGTCAATGCAGGTTTGGTGAAAGTGGCGAGCATAGACGTGGGGGGCATAGAAGCACAGTACAAAAATGACTTTTGCCACACTGCTCTCTGCTGACCATCACATAGCTCACCAGCCACCCATGACGACCCAAGCACCATCCAGCCTCAAAATCCCGAGCGATTTTGGGCCACAGCCAGGGCACCGAAAATTGCCAATTGTGGCGAATTGTGACCATGGCGAGCCACGGCGAGGGCGCGTCGAGCGACGTTGGGGCGGTATCGTGATGCCGCTGTCTCCCCGTGCAGCGACGCACAGAGCGACGTGGACGAAGCGGAAGGTGGCCAGCGGGAGGCGGGCGGAGTGCGCTGCAGTGTCGCAGCACCGCAGCACGTCCTCGCGCTGCCCAGCGTCAGCGTCCTCGATCGCCTCAGCCTCACCTGCTCCGTCTGGCTCCTGCTCGGGGTGGACGAGGCGGCGGTCCTGCACACGCTGCAGGGCGAAAAGCCAGGGGTGAGAGAGGGCCCATTGTATCATTCAGCCGCGGGGAATCCGATGAGCCGTGAAGTCCCTTTTTCTCGCGGGCTTCCTTGTAGGGGCACGGGGTCAGAACGTCGTGACAATAAACGGTACACAAAACACTACAGGGGTGCAAAGTATAGGGAAGGTAAGCAAATCACAAAAAAAATAAACTACTGTCAATTATTTTTATTCTCCCAGGTAAAGGCCATTTGGCTATTAGCTTCAATCAATACACTGCTGGATGAAGGCCTCCCCAAGCAATCGCCATCTCTAACGGGCCTTATTCGGATTTGGTTTCTTCACGTCTCCTCTGTTCTGTGCCTATTCTCTAATGCCATCCATCCACCCCCTGTCCTGTTTTTCCTGTTCCACCGTTGTCCATCGCTCTCAGCCTTGGTGTCCCTCTGCTGCTTCTTCTTCCATAACCCCTTTCATTACATCTTTTTGTTTTTCTCTCTTCTCAACACGTGCTCAGACCATCGCAGTCTCGCACCCTCTCAAGAAGATATCCTTATCTCCTTATTCTTAGTATTGCGAGGTCAAGCCTCCATTCATGGAGGGGCTCGGTCTTTTCCCAGTGCAACTCCAAGACGATGGAATGCGTTGCCTCGAGATAATAAGACAATCAGAATCTTAAGTGCTATTTAAACCTGCCCCTGAAAACTCACCTCTATAAATGGTATTTCCCCCATAGTTTGAGTCGTTTACACTACTGCCTCGCCCTTAGTTCCCTGCTTTCCATACACGGCGTCCATTGGGATCCTTGGCTGAAATGCACCTTGCAAATGTAAATTATTATGATTATATTTTACATTCGTGAGAATATTGGCAACGTGCCCCGATGAGGCTCAACCTTTTCCATTATTCCTTCCTTTTGAGATATTCCCAACATCTATAGCTTTAACATGACAATCCCACGGAGAGCTCCTGCACGCGAGCGATTTCGACGCTCTATCTCCACGGCGGTCATCCTCTCGACCGCGTTCTCTCCCTTGGCTTGCCTCTCTATCCTCTCTATCGTTAGCCATTAAATCTTCTCCAGCTGACGGGGGCCAACAAACTCTCCTAACTTTTTCCCGTCAAAGAGGCCAGACACCACTTTCTGCCGACACGTTCGATAGTGGAGGTGAAACGTCACATCGATGAATGGATGTCGACGACGAGGCTCATGGCACATGGCTCGAATTCTCGAGTGGAAGAATCAACGCATTCACATTGCACGTTATGGACTGATGCCATCGCTATGCTATTGCCTCATGAACAGAGTATGGGGGTAAAGTGTGTAGGGGGGATGGAGGAATACATTCTTACACGTCTGTGAAATAGATCTAAAATCTTCAATCTAGTCCTGCCAATAAATATATTTGCTGAAACACAGCCAGTCAACCCTGCAGTAGTCACATTTTCTAAGACATTATATATATAAATTGGCTTTACTCATACATTTGGCATCAAAGAAAACACATTGTAGAGCCACCACTCCCACACGTTTTGCCACTCGGCTTAATTTAGCCTGGGGATTTCCCCCGCCCACAGTAAGCCGACCCCCCTGGCCTGCTGTCGTCAACCTCCAGGCACGAATGCCCTCATCGTGGGCTTTGAAGGAGGGCTACTGCGGGAGGGATTAATGCAATGCAACCCGATGACTCCTTACATTTATTCAATTCCACTCTCTGGGCAGACGTTCATCGTGCGGCGCTCAAAGAAGACCCAGCAGAAAGTGATCAGCGTGCGCTGGACAAAGGGGGAAGGCTGCCTCTTTGTGCGCAATTACCCCATTCTCGAGACACAGTCAGGTATGCGACGACTCAAGTGAACACCGGAACGGTTACGTCAGAACGGTATGCTATCGTAAAGGGGCTAATGGAAAAAAATGCGGCCCTGCAATTGCTTACCACTGGCAGAAGGGCCTCCACTGAAGGGGGCTCTAGAGAGGGTAGTTTGGCCTATTGTGGTGTGCCCATTTGTACTGCCGGGTGAATGGAGGCAGGCATTTAAGAAACGCGTTTCATTGATTTCAACTGTCGTGCCAGGAGACTGAACGGGTGACCTCTGCATTGCAAGAGGTCAACCGTTAAGTTATTTTGGCACCGCGGTGGTGAGATGTTAACCAACTCACCTGGTATACAGAAGGTCGTGAGCCCGATCCCGACCCCGAAGCCGGTATATTTGGAGTTTGCGTGTTCTCCTCGTGGTCGCATGGCGTTTTTTCCGGGTCTTCTGGTTTTCCCCCCCACATTGAGAAACATGCGTTTAGATTATTTGGCTGCTATAAATGTCCACATAAGCCGCTTCGTTGGGCTATCAATTGTGATGGCGAGGTCGCTTCTGAACAAGAGCTATATAGCTCAGTGGGCCTTACTTAGTAAAAGAAAAATAGTTTATACTCTTTGCTTTTTTCGGTAAAGTCACGTAGATAAAACAAAATCAAAATAAAAGAAAAAAACTAAATCAAATCACGACGTTTCGGAGGCGACACAAGCTTCCGTCTTCAGGTGGAACAGTCACAGCAAGATAGCTGCATAAAAAAATAGTTTAGTTTTAGCAAGTTCAGTTCGCTAACCATTAGACCATGGTAGCATCCCCTACGTTCTAGTATTTGCAGAAAAAATACTGAAATATTTACAACATAGGGTCATTCTTTCTAGATATATACATATCAAATCATTGTGTATGCAAATTTTGTTCCACTGCATGCATATTTTGTGCTACGGGTTTTCAGCCTCTGGAAAACTTTTGCCTGTCCAAGGACGGGTGTATTGCAGTAAATCTGAAACTTTCAAGCGAACAGCAGACCGTGACGTGATATTCATTGCATCAATGCGCGTGCAATTTGTAAGGGCGCGGTGACACAGACTGATTTCATGTAAAGGTTATAATCCCTTGTTCATCACGACGTCCTTTTTACTTCGATGTCTCAATAACGTTACGGAGATCACGTGACGTGATGAGGGTTCTGCCTTTGTAGTGAGGGTTGTAAGTTGACGCCGAGGAGGGGGGAGGAGGCGCCCCCCCCTACACCCATGTCGAGTGACGTCACCCTTTCATGATTATTAATGAGGGGGGAGCAATTGGAGGACGTCACCTCGTCATGATTATTAATGAGGGGGGCTGTTCGATCTGGCGTGCCGTTACCTGCGCATGATTATTAATAAGGGGGGGGGGGGGTCCGTGGATTTTAAGAATAAAAAAAACAGCACATGACAGACTTTGACAATATGGTGATTTTTTTTTTAATTCCACAAATGGGCAGGTGCGTAAAGTCATGTTTCCACGTATCACATACAGGCCATCAATTTGGCGGGACGCTGTCACTCCTTGCCCAACCTCCGTTGCGCAGTTCCACGGATGTTTTTGTCGGCATTCATGATACAAGCTCGCCCATGACCTCTCAGTATTGTCTTCAGTCAAAATTGTATCAGTCACACAAAGAGGCCGTAAGCACAAACGGACCTTGGACCGGCCCACATGTTTAGCTGTTGAACCACATTCTTCTGCGCAACAGCAATAAAAAAGGAACATTATTTCTTAACGTCTTCATTTACCCCGTGCAGGTTTTGCCCTGGATGGGTCCAAGCTTACCTTTCCAGATTTGTGCAAACTCGTCGCCTTCTACACCGCCAGCCGGTGAGTCCCACACAGGAGGAGGGCGGTGGGGGGGGGGGGGGGCGGTGTTAAGGGAGAGAAGGAGCAGCTGTGTTGCTCACAGCTTGGAAAACTTTTCTGAAATTGCCACGACATCAAAATGCCGTGTCCAGTAGCGTAGCGAGAGTGGGGGGCAGGCAGGGGGTGCCTTGCCCCCCCCCCCCCATGTTGGCCAAAGCTACGAGTTGGGGCCCCGTTGACATCCACCATGAGATATGTTTTCAACAACAGTGTAAAATAACAACAAACGTTTTATTATACTTGACGACTGTTTCAATTTTAACTAGTGTTGGTTTCCCTGCTTCCTCCACAGAGACATCCTGGACTTTACACTCATTCTGCCTCCAGTGATCCAGGCAGCCTCCACGCAACAGCAGCTGGAGTCCATCGCCAAGATGGGAATTGGTACGACGACTCGCTGCGCAGCTTAACTTCAAAACGGACGGATCTATCCGCTTCACACGCCCTCATTAGAGATTGTCCACCTATGTTCAGGCCTGCGTCGCCTTATTATTATAGTAATAATAACAACAACAAAGTAAAGTGTAGCCCTATACCAATCCATTAAACTAAAGTATGTTTTTTTTTCTTGGTTCTTTCGGTAAAGTCACGTGACTTTACCGAAAGAACCAAGAATATGAATCACTGCAGTCACGAAAGCTTTAAATCAAAATTTATGTTTTTTTATTTTACCAGGTAAGGCCTATTCAGCTATATAGCTCTTTTTTCAGGAGCGACTGGGCCACAAATGATAGCTCAACGAATTGGCTTATCATGTTGACATTTATAGCAGCCAAACACTCATGTTACTAAATATGGAGGGAAAAAACCGGCGGACCCAGAGAAAAAAACCCCACACGAACCACAGGGAGAACATGCAAACTTCAAATATACAGGTGTTAGGGTCGAGATCGAGCCCACGACCTCTCGTAGAGCAGGTGATGTAGCTAACATCTCGCCACCGTGGCGCACATTGCTGGATGAAGGCTTCCGCACACCATGTCAGTGATGGGAGTTGTCAGAGCAACCTTCACCACGCTGCTCAGTGGGGGTTGGTGAAGAGGGCACCCCAGATCTGGTTAACAAATAATTAGCTTTAGCCAGGAATCTAACTGTGGTCATAAGTTTTATAGCATAGTGCGAGAACCACTTCACCACTGATGCCCCCACCCATATAATTGCTTCCATGAATGACTCTATTTGTGAAATAATCATTAAATAATCTCTTGCGCAGAGTTCTGGTGCTCATCGCTGCACAAGGGCCATCAGAGATACTCAAACAGCTCGGACGACAGCGTGTACGTGAAGCTGGATCCAGCAGGGCAGCTCAAGAACGAGCGCGTGGGGGAAAATGAAGACAGCGGGCTGTGCTTCGTCGACCCGCTGTTCATTCACGAACAACCGGCTTGCTTAGTGGATGGCAAGGCGCAGCTTCCTAGCACACCTGCACCCGCGGGCCCGAAGGAGGTCCCAGTCGATCGGCCGCATCCCGAGGCGAGCGACTTGCTCCTGCCCGACCCTATCCAACGGCCGCGTTCAAAGCCCCTGAGCGAGATCAACCCCCGGCGCGCCGTGTTGAGGCGAACGTCTTCAGGCGTCAGCAGCAGCAGCAGTGGCTCCAACGCAATGAGCGTCAGCAGCGGCTCGCCGGGCGATCACCGCCTGTCCACCTCGTCGTCCGAGCTGGAGTCGGACTTGGAGTCTGCCCACTCGACGTCCCCGTGGAACAACCAGTCTGGCTTCAACAGCGCACGAGGTAGAACAATTTTTACCGCGCGGATTTGCGCGCTTGCGTTGCTGCAAGGCTCTCGCGATGCGTTTTTCGGGTCGTAACCACGCCGAGGCCGTTCAGCATGATGTCCGACGTTTTTGCTCCACGTGCCGGAGGTGGGGGGGGGGGGGCTTCTTCAGTTGAGTTCATAAGCCACTAGAGCGTGGAACAAAACCGTCGAGCATCGTGCTATACAACACGCGGTCCAAGCCATAAACACACGTTGGAGAGGGAGAACACTTTCCCCTTGTTTGGTATGCATTTGTGCTTGGTGTCAAGACCGCTGACGTCAAGTGGTGTTGAGATTAATTATGTAATTCTCTTTTGTGTTGTAAAATCAACGATTCGTGGCTTGACATCGATTGTGACTTGTGAGCTATAAAAGTTCGCTTGATGGTCCTGTGGGAAACCACCTAACTTGCAGCTGGAGGGAAATAAGTTCAAATCCTGGCCTAGGGCTGTCAACTAAACACATCATATATACAGGGTTGATAAATTAGTACCATCTTGTCGAAATTCAATGGTCACTGTTGTATGGTAGACTGGTCCTGGCCACAGGAATGTGCAATTTCCACTACCGACTCGCTTGTGTATCTGGGACACTGAGATTTTTCGACCGCCTGCATAAGCCGAGTGGCAGCCAGAGGAAGGAACGTGCCCTAGAGTGATGCTCACCATTTCTCACGGTGGGACCATGAGGAATGGTGCTGGCTCGGGGGTTAGGCCTCGATTCAGCAGTCAATTGACCATGGCTAATGGCGATGATGATAAGCACAGCTCGGCACGGTGTCCGACGCGAAACGTCGGACACCGTGCCGAGCAATTCGCGGTGCAGCCCCGAAAACACAGGAGAGCCTCACGGCAGCGAAACCGCGACGAGCCAACGCAACGAAGTTGCGCCTCAATGTGAACCATGCGTTTGCCTGCGTTGGACAGCTACGACGAGAACGATGATGCTGATGACGGCGTATCAACTGTGCTGTTATTTCACAGGAATGCGGCTCAGGGGGTTGTTGCCAGGCTTTCGCAACGCCCTCGGCGTCATCAGCAACACCCTGCAGATGCCCGAGCGGCGCGTGATACGCCGCATAAAGGAGCTGGCGTCCTCCCGCAATGCCTACTTCGGGTGCCTGGTCCAGGACTACGTGAACCTTGTGAGGAACGGCTTCGCGGACCCCACGCAGGCCTGCGGCGACGGCAAGGAGCTGCTGAGATCCGTGCGGCAGACCATGACGCAGTTCAAGTTCTACCTGATCCAGTGCAACGAGATAGAGCCGCCACTCGAGGCGATGATCTCCGAGCACCGCATAGGTAACGATCACCTCCTTGCCCGACAGCCTTGCCCGACAGCCTTGCCCGACAGCCTTGCCCATACGAGAATAGCGCAAATGTCAAATGTGCTGGCGACCTGATTTGACGATCGCATTTGTTTTGTTCTCATGCGTAAAAACCTCACAATACCGATCACGTGGGACGTCCTACGTGTGAATCCTTTGCCCTGAGTCGCGAATTTTGACGCAACTGACAAGAAGAAAAATCCGGGAATGGTAATGTCCCGGGAAGACTTATAGATTTCCCAAGACGGCAGATGCCTCAAAAAGAGACAGAGAGCAACCCTAGTTCACGTTAATGGCCATCGGCATTATACTTTTGTAGCATCACACCTCGGCATAGTTTGATAGATAGGACGAGTAGCTGTATCGTAACATCTAATGTAATTTCGATTTAAAGCTTTCGTGACTGCAGGGATTCATATTCGTGGTTCTTTCGGTAAAGTCACGTAGAAGGGAAATAATTGCTTGTGTTGCAATCGAAACGTCGTGAGAATTTTATTGTTTTATTTGTAGTATTTTATTATTTCCCTTCTACGTGACTTTACCGAAAGAACCAAGCATATCTAACGTAATATTCAGGTAAAAGTGCAGCCGTGAAACGTCTTCCTCATGCCACTGCTAATGTAATATTCAGGTAAAAGTGCAGCCGTGAAACGTCTTGCTCATGCCACTGCTGGCCGAAGGGCCTCCACGAGAGGAACCTCTTGCGAGCCCCTTCTAGAGGGTATTTGGCCTACTCTTAATGTTGCACACTTGGGTAGGCCTTCACACAGCAGTGTATAGATCATGGCTGATGACGTCGCGTGACATACACAGCCATGGTGGAGCTCGGTTAGTAAAGCAGCAGAGCCCATGTCATCGATGTGCACAATTGAGTCCATCATTATCATTCCGAGGAAGGAATAATGAATACTACGCCGTGATAATTAATCATAGCTATTGACAATGATATGGATAATCCCCACCACAGGAACATGGAATTTCAAAATAGCCAATGGAGATCATGGATAGAAAAAAAATAACCACGGTTCATGAGCACAGGTTGAAAGACCCAAAACACCATGCGGCCAGCAACAAACAGTGCCCTTGAAGGTGCAATAGATAACGAGTCAATACGTTTCTTGAGGTGAAAAACGTTACATGAACGAGAATAGCGTTCCGTTGTGGAGGTCCCAGAAAAGAGTATTCCAGAACATTTTATTTCAGCTCAAGCAACAGTTGGCCATTCTATTCACAGTGGCACAAAGCCACCGTGGTGCGAACTCGGTGACTCAACGTTTCAGCGGCAAGGGAAACAAAAATGTCGAGTCATCGTGTTTACACTTTACCTGTTCTACTTTAAAATTGTTGTAAGTGAAATACTATAATAAACTATGTTCAGTTTGCGCATTTTACACGAACAGTTCATTTGTACGTGCACAATAACATGAAGGGGTTAAATAAATATAGAGAGAAACGTTGAACTAAAATCTTTGTGAACAGGAAGCTTTACGCAAGACTCCCTTACATGGCATGTGTCCAATACACCTGTGACAAAGTGCACTGATAGAAATGCACGGCAAACACCTCACAACACAATAAAGTAAACTTACAGCCAATGGAAAAGTGTACATTTCCACTCAGTTTCTTACATGTAAAATAATATTGACTCCATTGCTGCTGCTGATAGGGGAATAAATAGTAAAGTTTATTTTAATTTGCTTAATCTGAAGTTTGATTTAAAGCTTTCGTGACTGCAGTAATTCATATTCTTAGCTCTTTCGGTAAAGTCACGTTGAAGAGAAACAATAAAATAATAAAAAATATATAAAACAATAAAAATTCTCACGTTTCGACCATAACACAAACGGGCATCATCGTTTGCGTTATGGTCGAAACGTCGTGAGAATTTTTATTGTTTTATATATATTTTATTATTTTATTGCTTAATCTGGTGGGAGCTCAAGAAACCGGGATAGTCTCATTCCCAAGAGTGAATGAAGACGACAAATACCCGTACGATTCTTACATATCGAGGGGGGGGGGGGTGCATGCGTCTGCATCTCGTGTCTTCACCAGACGACGTAGTGGAGAAGGCTCTGTACAAGTGCGTCCTGAAGCCGCTGAAGCCCACGCTGGAGCAGGCTCTGATGTCTACGCACAACAAGCAGGGCCTTGTGAAGCGCCTCCAGAGCAACTGCTTCTGGGGACGCTCGCAGCTGCCCACGGAGCTGGGCGTCTCGCCGAGTGTGAACACTCCCGACTCGGCAACTCAAGAGAGGATCAGGGCGAAGCTGAGCGATTTGGCAGCCTCCTACTCGCCCATGGTCAAGGTGGACTCCCTGCTCAAGGTCTGCAAGATGGTCTACAATGCGATGGGGTCTTCCGGCGAAGGTACGACGAGGTGGCAGCCTCCGGATACCATTGGAGTGCCAGGCTCCCTAGAGTTTTAGAATGGAGTCGTTCGTTGGCTCGTTTCTCAATCCGCTTGTCCTGGCGATGGTCACGGCGGTAGCAGCATGTTGAGTAGAGGCACGGTCCAGACCTCCCTTTCGCTGGCGACAGACTCTAGCTCTTCCTGGGGAATTCCCAGGCGTTCCCAGGCCAGCCGAACGACATGGTCCCGCCAGCGTGGTCCTGGGCCGGCCACGGGGTCTTCGCCCAGTGGGACGAGCTGCCCGGGAGAGTTCCAGGGGGGGGTCTACCGGGGGGGGGATCCTTACCAGGTGCCCGAACCACCTCAACTGGCAGTCCACGTTTCTCAAAATGAACATAGGGGCACGTCGTGTCTAGTTGTGCCGCGTGTTGATGTTCGACGACCCAGAAACACGTGGGAGAGGCGGAACTGTGAACATGGAAGCAGCAGTAACAGAGGGCATAATGAGAACATTCATATAGCGCAGTTCATGGATTATATGTACATTGCATAAAAACTACCGATGTACAGGTGTAAGTTAATTCCAACGCTGCCTTAGTCAGGAAGCAAAACAAAGCATACTTTTTACGTCGCTGTAAAAGTTTGTAAATAGTTAAAACTTAGTATTTATTTATTTTGGCTCAAGCATAGCAGTTTACTATCACGTTTCAACATTTTTTTTATTGGCACTTCGTAAAATACCTACAGTTGAGGAATTCGAAAAAGACATAACCCAAATAACATTTTAAGAAGCAATTTTTATATAGTATTATTTTTTGCTAAACAACTCTACATATTTTAGCCACGTGTCGATTTCAGTGGAAGCCGCAAACTATTTTGAAAATGACATTTGAATAAAATGGAGAGACCACCAATTTTAAAAGTGAAAGGGACACTGCGAAAACCATATTTCCGATGTAATTTCTGATTGTATCGTGTGTTGCTCGGCACGAAGTCAGACGTTTCCCTCCGCGTGCTGGGAGCTTCTTCAGGAACAGGATTAGAATTCAGCTCAGAAGCTCCCAGCGCGCGGCTCGAAATGTAGGACATCGTGCCGAACAACCCAGAGAGCTCGAGGTGCAGTGTAGCTCATCGCAAAAACGAGTGCAACTAAAGAATGACAAATAGCAAGGCATTCCATAACCACTGGGGCTATGCAATTTTAAACCAAGATTGAAACTAATTTATTTCTAACAGTTTTTGTGTTTGATCTGTTGTCCATACCCGCACATATGATTAGCACGGTTAGCTACGTACGGTGTGAGTGAAGTTCAATATACATTACATTTTTTTTCAATAACAGAATTTATTATCTAGAGATGGGAGACGGCCGTTTTCACGTAGCATGGTTTTGGTTTTACGATAACGGCGATTTTATGAACATCACTTCCAAAACCCAGTGAGTGGTCCTATGAGCTCGTCTGTTGGGGTGTATCCAAACACGGTCGCTGTGAAGGCGTTTGAAAGTTGACATTGCTGCTCGCGATGTCTTCTTGCAGGGGGTGCCGACGACTTCTTTCCAGTCCTCACGTACAGCCTGCTGCACTGCGACTGCCCCCAGCTGGCCATACAAGTGGACTACATTATGGAGTTGCTCAACCCGAACCTCATGAGCGGAGAGAGTGCGTACCTACACCGCTGGAGACACAGTTGCGCACCACGAAAACTAAACTCTGTTTAGCCAGCAATGGATGTAGACAACTGATGGATGCAGACGATTGATTGATTGTTTTTTATCGGTTAGTTTATCGACTAAAACACTGTTTGGCAAATGCACCCGATCTTCGTTGGATCTCGGAAGCTAAGTAGGTTTGATCTTGTGTAGTGCTCGGATGGGCGATCCACCACAATGCATACACAGGCGTTGTAGGCTGCTACGTTGCCAGCAGTAAGCAGTGCAGCAAAATACGTTGCATTGTACTGCACTCCCAACTTCCATGTTACCTGGCTTCAACTCGCGTTGACCAATGCGGTGATGTATGGTCAAATAATACTCGCGAGTAGTAATGGCATGGGGAGGCCCTCCTCCAGCAGTTGTTTAATCTAAATGGCTCTTACATAACAGGTCCTTGCAGGGTGGGCTGGTAGGAACATTGGAATTTTGCGCAATTTTATTTTTACACCCCAACAACACGAGATTTCACTTCGTTAAAGTATTGAAAGGGGACGGACGGACGGACACATTAATCTATTGCAGGCTGGTACACTCAGTTTACAACTTCGTTCCTACCAGTATAACCTACTATATAAATTAGATTGCAAAGCTTGGGCATTTTGTCCAAAACAGCTCCATTAGGTTACTGAAAATTAAATATCACCATCTTCTTTGGTTCTGTCGGTAAAGTCACGTAGAATGAGAATAAAATAATAAATTGATAAAATAAAATAACACAATAATATTCTCACGATGTTTCGGCCACAACACAAGCGGCCTTCATCAGGTGAAGGGACGAGACTGTCTGGTAGGACAGCGCTGGAGTGAAAGAGCCACGTTCAGATCACGGCCTTTAAGCTGTGAGAGGAACAAAGCGCCTTGATAAAGGAATTAGCATATAATTTAGCATTGAAATGGCTGAATGATTAGCTTGTGACTGGTCACAGAAATAGCTACGTTAAAAGTTAAAGCATACACATCCGCAGAGGCACCCCTTGTTAAAGGAATTAGCATAGAATTTAGCATTGAAATAGCTAAGTTAAAGCATACACATCCGCATGGGCACCCCTTGACAATGGAATTAGCATAGAATTTAGCATTGAAATAGCTGAGTGATTAGCTTGTAACTGCTCACAGAAATAGCAACGTTAAAGTCAGAGCATACACATTCACCGAGGCACTTAGTACAAATCAAACAGGAGAATTTAGCAAATTCTATGCTAATTCCATTGTCAAGGGGTGCCCATGCGGATGTGTATGCTTTAACTTAGCTATTTCAATGCTAAATTCTATGCTAATTCCTTTAACAAGGGGTGCCTCTGCAGATGTGTATGCTTTAACTTTTAACATAGCTATTTCTGTGACCAGTCACAAGCTAATCATTCAGCCATTTCAATGCTAAATTATATGCTAATTCCTTTGTCGAGGCGCTTTGTTCCTCTCACACAGCTTAAAGGCCGTGATCTGAACGTGGCTCTTTCACTCCAGCGCTGTCCTACCAAGCAGTCTCGTCCCTTCACCTGATGAAGGCCGCTTGTGTTGTGGCCGAAACGTCGTGAGAATATTGTGTTATTTTATTTTATCAATTTATTATTTTATTCTCATTCTACGTGACTTTACCGAAAGAACCAAAGAAGATGAATCATTGCAGTCACGAAAGCTTTAAATCGAAATTTAAATATCACCACTCCATCTTCGATACGGTTTGCCTCTCCACCCACGTGTATTCCCTGGACTCCTGCCCTCTTGTTACTCAGCCAGACGCACGTTGCCCGTGGACAAACGTGCGGACCTCACGGCTACATTCAAATGACCGTGCACTTCTCTGTCCACCGTCAGTCGGTGCCCTCTAACCGCTCGGCAACTCCCTGCAGGCGGATACTACCTAACGAGCGTGTACGCAGCCCTGCTGATGCTCGGCAGTCTGCAAGAAGAGCAGGCGACGGCAGAGCTCACAGCCAACACACAGCAGTCTTTGCGGGAGTTTCGTAGAAGCCGGATGACCAGCACAGCACAACACAGCACGCGTAGCCAGGTGAGCACTCCGACTGACGACAGGTTTCACGATGTGCTCCCGTGAGCACAGTACGCCGAGAATAAAATCTCTGCATTGGCTTCCGATTACATTTTGGGTGCAATTTAACGTGTTGCTGCTAATGTACAAGGGCCTTGCACCATTTTACATTCAACAACCGATACACGTGCACGCACCGTCACGACCTCTCCAATCTGCTGATTTACATCTGCTCAATGTGCCGAGAACTAGACTCTGCGCCTAGGCTGATTGAGCCTTTGATCATCAAATGTGTATCGACAATGAGCATACGCACCGTGTAGTTGTGGTTTCAATTGTGTTAGAGATCCGAATTGGATACATCCATTGAATGGGTATAACGTCCTAACATGACATTAAAATTATTCAGAAAATTATGCGTTTCCAGTTGTGAAATCGCACACTGCGTACATCTGTTAAATCAGTCGGTATAAAATAACTTCCATTTTCAAATACCGTGTTAGCCGTTGACAGTGAGACATAGTTGACAGTGAGACATAGGACACAGTAGGGGGCACAAGCGGTGCATTTTCCAGTCGGTAAACCCATGGCACCTGGGTCTGTCCCGTGACCTTCCGTCAGCAAGCCTTCGACACTTGAGGTGGCCTCAAAGTGCACCTGGCCTGGCACAGGTGCTGTGATGACGTCACGGTCACTCAGCGGCTATTGCCAGCTGTTGTTGTTTTTGTTGTTGCCCTGAGAAATGTCAGTTTACGCTCCAGTTAAAGATCTTTTTTAAAGTGTCGATTCATTTGTTCATTGACGACTTTGGTTTGTTTTTGTAGCACTTGCCGTTAATGGTGTCCTTTCGAAAATGCGGCAGCATGACAAAACCCTTCTCCACCCGGGAGACGGTCACGGCGAAGGAGGTGTGCCAGAATTGCGCGACCCACTTTGAGGTCACTGCCGACGAAGCGGAGTCCTTTGGCCTCTACGCGGTCACAATCTACAGCACGGGCCACAGCGAGTGGCACTTCCTCAAAGACAGCGATTGTCCGCACAGCGTGTGGGCCAAGCTCACCAGCAACAATTCCACCTCCAATCAATTGGTTTGCTACTTTGTCTACAAACCGCTGGACAACATCGACAGGGAATGCCGAGATTCCGAAAACCTCTTCACGCAAGGACCCGACACCAGCGCTGGCTTCCGGCCTCCAAACAGAGGCAGTGGCAATGGAAACACCTTTAGCCAAGATGTCCCTGCAATTAATCTCATGCCATCCATGAATGAGAACACTTTTCAACGTGCCAACACACAGGATCACCACACCAAACTTTAACTCGCATTGCACAACCGAAAGTGCAATGCGCACTTTTTAAGAAATGCAATAAAATGTACTTGCTGCATCATGCCAAAAAACCGAAAGCATATAAAGCCGTTTTTTTCTGGTCAAGTAATATCAAAGTTGCAAACGTCCACAATGAATCCTTTGCATCCTCTAGTTGCCCCTTCATTGAATGTTTAAAAGTATGTAGCTTGGAGTTACAGTACAAGTATACAGCTGTTAGAAAGACAGCTTAAATCAAGTAGCTGCATTTGTGCAGATGTTAATACGTTTTTTTATATGCTGTCATACAATATATATTTATTACAGATGTTATAAGCTTGTGTCGAGTATTAATGTGTTTGTACCGAGCAACATTTGAAGTTCTATTTCAGCTGTTAGAAAGTTGAAAAAATGTATTTTAAGCTGTGTACATATTTGCACTTTTGCCCCTCCAGCTATGAATATCCTGAAAATAATATAAGTACATCCTTTCATTATTTATTGTTACGAGTGTATAATCATGCCAATATCATTAAGTTGTATTAAGACAGTAGGAACTCACAATACAATCAGACATCTAAACTTTTCAGGCGGTTTTATTTTTAATAAAATCTATTGCAACATAAATGATCTCATTTCTACTCATGTAATCGTCTTTCGTATGGCTGCTGATGCAGAGCAACAACCAGATAATAGCCGCGTCGGGGGCAGTAGCGGAGTGTATCGCTGTGATGGCTTCTTCGTATTTGTGTATCGGGCATTGCGCTTTATGTTGTATGGTCTGTTCTGGATGACCACAGTCGCACACTGGAGAGTTTTTAATATTTAATTTGTGTATCAGATATCCGCGTCTGCCATGGTTTGTACGGATGTGGTTTAGGAATGTCATAATTACGTAAGAGCCAGACATGGGACAGTGTCACATTTTTTATTAACCAAAATAAAATGATGTAACCCATCAGCAGTATGACCTAATTACAAATGTTTGGATGTATTGGTGTTTGTAGGTACAAAGTACACAATACATTACACAATTCTAATAATTATTTTCAAAGGGCTGATCTAAATCGAGGTTTTGCCATTTGGCCAGGAAATCAAAACTTCACCACCTTTTCCATTAATATTGCATAACATTTTTTTACATTACCAAAAAATGAGCCTGCTATATCTTTTCTGTTATATGTAGGTGTTAATGACAAATATGGTACGTTTTAAAAAATACATTTCCTTGGACACCCCCACTGCTAATGGCCTTTTTTTACTACAAATTGAAGATATCCATCCATATAGTGGCTGCCTAAAACCCACTTAAGACTATGGGTAAAACAGATTAATGGCACCAAAGAGAAGGCAGCCTTATCACGAGTCCTCAGTCTCATCCCGGTCTTTGTCTGGGTCTCTGTCACCAATGTTCTCCTGCTCCTTCTTTATTGCTTTTTTGGAAACCAATTCATCATCACCACCACCCACTTCCATATCTATTGGCGTTTTCTTGCTCGTCTCTCCTGAAGACTCGCCTTCCTCTTCGTTGACGCTACCAGAGTCTCCTTCACCAGTGGCAACACTTTCTCTTTCTTCACGACCATCACCACCATCATCTTCGTCACTGGTATCCCGAGCTGTCACGGTACCTTTCTCATTTCCTGGCTGTCGTTGGACACTCGTCTGTGCATCGCTGTCTCGTTGCTCATCCTCTTCCACTGGTTCATCTACCCACTGTGGTGCCCCCTGGGCAGTAGATGCTATGCCATGAGCCTCCATGTACTGGTGTTGCTTCCACATCTTGGCCATGGACAACAGCTTAAGATTAGGCTGGTTGGCCGAGTCTTCAGGGAAGATGTAGTCGTAATACTCCTCCCAGCCAGCATCCGACTGCAAAGAGACAAAACAACATTATGCCTGGGCATAAACTTTCACTTTGCATCCAGTAACTTAGAGCTCATTAAAGCAAGAAATATGAAGCATGCATTTGCATGGCTTCCGTAACACTCCAATTGTCCTCAGAGTCATTTCTAAACAATGATGTTGTTACGTCCCAAATCACACAATTAAATAATACAGCGCATGACGTGTGACGCTACCATACTGCCCGGCATGGACAACCCTATTTACACTGTTGCCAAGTTTGTGGCAACCCTTCGATCAATTTCGTAGGGAAGTCCTATATAGCAACACAACTTTATACTAATATTTATTTCACATATAGAAAAAGAGCTCATGTATTTTTATTAACGCTTTCAACCGTAGATGAAAAGCAATAACTTGAAACTTTTAAGCCCAAAAAGAATAGTTTATGTATTGAATGCAAATTCATGAAACTAAAGTTCAAAGTCAGCGACAATGACGTAGTACAAGGGAAAGACATCGCCGCGAGCCTCGGGAAGCCAAGATAACGTACCCCGTCATCCGTCTGAACCTTTCTGCGTTTCTTGACACGGCTGGGCATCAGCTTCTGCACCCGCTCGCGGCTGTCTTCATTGCCGAACGGATCTTCGAAGTCGCGCCATGCCTCCAGCAGCATCACTCGCTCTTCCTTCTCCTCGCAGCTGCGCAGCGAGCGATTGCCTTCCTCGTACACACGCCGGCAACGCGAGACGCGTTCTTTGCCCTCCACCGACAGCTCAAACTTGGCGAAGCTTATCCATACCTGGAAAGATGGACAAGCCAAGGTAATCCATATAAAACATCGTAAATGAAATTCAAAAAGCCCGTGTCTCCACGCTCAAACGAGCACTGGAACAGCATCCATCTCTGCGAGGTGGCACAGGGCCAGTGGTGGAAATTCCAACGATAAACAAGAAACCAGTCCCGACACAGAGTAACCAACGTTGAATTTGCACAGTGGTACGTTTGCATCATGGACTTCTTTTGCACCGTACGTAGCCAACTGTGCTAATCAGAGGTGCGGGGGAAGGCTGATGATGATCATGAAATAGAGCCTATCAGCTCATTGGGCCCTTGGTGATGATATAAATGAATCGAAAAAAGAAACAAAATATACATCTCCAGGAATGTGCTCAATTACATCAGATCTTGGAAGCGAGCAGAGTTGAGGCTGGATAAGTGAATCCACGACAAGCGTGCAGGCTGCTATTGGGCCATGTTTTCAGCAGAGGGCAGTGCTGCAAAATCCATTGTGCTCCAATGTAATTCCCCACCTTTATCAGCACACGCTGACCTGCATGGGGAAGTGTGATGAAATAGCCCCCACTTCTCTGTGTGGGAAGGCACTCATCAGTGGACTTACAAAAAGGACTGTACGTGTATGTACGTGTACTTGTTTTTATCAACCCCGAAGGAATGATGGGCTGAGCTGACTAAAACTAGAATTTTTACTTGCAACCTGATTTTTTTTAACACCCAGCCACATTGTCAGAATATATATTTTATCAAGTGATGGTCCTTCATAAAACAATACCTCTGACAAATGAACATCTTTTATACACGTTTCCATGCTGTATGTCGTGTTTTTGTTTGCAAAGAACGGTAGCTTTACATCAATAACCAATTGAGAATTGCAACATGTGATGCAAGATTATGCAATACAAACTGCATACGATGGAAATACTAAAAAAAACACGTGTAGGTTAAAGAGAAAATGCAGCCAACTACAGAACACTGAGTTATCGACTGCAAATAAACATACAATGCCAAATTAATAGTAGAGAGATTAAACTAGTTAGACTGGAAATTTAAGCCCAACATCAGCATCATTAACTGCCAAGTGGGTAAGTTAGCTATCTTGCTGCTAATTAGCTGCGAACGCCTTCAAGAAAAGATCTCGACAATACAAACATTTGCATTGTCTAATCCTACATCAGAGCACTATGCATGGTCTAGTGCATTATTCTCCACTAATTTTCAGAGGCGGGCCTCTTTTACCAATACGACATCAGTGTGAGTGACGCCACACCGCCTGCAAGGGGATTATTCACTGTCGGGGGACGCACGTCAGAGGCCACACTAAAGGCTACCAGGGGCCACCAGTGGCCTGGGGCCTTGCAAATGAAGAACACTGCCTTGCGGAAAATCCGGCACACAGCCAAAGGTTGACGTCAAGATAAACGAGGCATGTCTTGTGATTTCTGGAGCAATGTGTCTGACATCAATCACTTGCCTGCCTACGCCGAGGGACTCGACACACCCCGCCAATTGCCTGCAGCGGCATAGCTGAAGATTGCATTTGATGAGCTAAGTAACCTTATCTATAAGATCACCACAAGGAAATTGGAGTCACCTTGTAACCAGGCATAATTCCTGTTCACAACTGTGCCGTGTCAATCTCCCGTGACTCTTCAACGGAACAATCCACCTCCAGCAACCGAGTTTCTTCAGCACGCATTGAATTTTTTTGTAGTTTTTTTAATTAGTTTTTTTTACATGCAACAACAGCCTGCCTCTTAAAGGGAAAAGCTTAGCTGTATTGGACTTTTTTAAAATCATAAAATCTACGTCTTGTCACATGGCTGAAATCAAATCATGAGCTACAAGGTGACCAAGTGTGTGACAATATAGCAAGCAGGTTGCTTTACTACTGATCTTTGTGGATGTTTTGGTGTTATCCCCCCTCAAGTGCATGGGGTTTCCTGTGGGTATTTGGGTTTATTCCAACAATATTCAGTAAGGAATTGGCCCAAATTCCCAATATGGATCCTCACAAGCAGAGTTATTTTGAGGTGCTATTGAGCTTTCAGAGACTAAGAGAAAATAAAGGATCAACTACCACATCCCACATCAATCAGTAAATATCCACTGGGTATTCTTTGGAACTCAAGAGTAACAATATTTGCCATTATGAATCTGCAAGCAGTTGAACGGCTCACAGTGCTAAAAATATAATTTTGACAAGTTCGGTTGCGAAAGAGAGAATTTTTAAAAATAGAGACTGGAAAAACTGCGGTTGAATGTATGAATAAAACCCCCCCTGTAATTCTGTACTTGAAGGCATGTTAAAATGTCTTCAAAGAATGTAGAAATATCTGCTAAGGGCGACTACCACAGGCAGGTTACTGGACATGGAGATTGGTAATATTGTGAAAAGAGTTAAATTATTCGAGCTGATATGAACTTGTTATTATAAAATCTAAACTATATTCATCAAATTGGGTAACAAAGAATGCATGGAAGTAATTGACATTTTAAAGCAGACCTGGGGGTCAATAATAATTAAGATTTCAGCAATCATTGTTCACGGACATTAACATTACGATTGGAATTCATGACAAAATTACAAGATTACAACTAATTCTAGATTTGAAGCTTTCGTGACTGCAAGGATGCATACTCTTTGGTTCTATTTCGGTAAAGTCACGTAGGTAAAAAATAGAACCAAAGGTTACAACTAGTCGAATCCAGGTCTGGTTCAAGGACATTTGACGATCCAAGCAAAGGGACTGGCGAGAGGTGCGGGGGACGAGGCTCACCTTGACGTGCTGTGTGCGCTGCAAGAGGCGGCGGTACAGATTCCGTGTCCTGGAACACTCCTCCTGTTCGATCTCAAAGTCGATGTAGGACTTCCACAGCACCTGGGAACGGGAGAGGAAAAAAAAACACGCGCGCTCACACACGCTCACAGCTTCCGTCGTTCGAAGCTGGCGACCCGTGGCTCTGGTGTGATGCTTATGTAA